TCTCCTGGCCAAAGAGCCAGTTTAATAACTGGTCTCAGCAGGATTTGGACAGCATAGAGAATCATCTACTTACTTCATCTTGTTGGTATATCCAACAGAAAATTAAAGGCTCCAGGAATTAGATCAAGCCTGGAGTCACAGCTATACAGTCAGCTATTAAATCAGTCTAGAAGTGTCTGCAATAAGCTGTAAATGACTGTCTGTGGTCGTTTCGTTTCATCCTGACCTGGTAATAAGAAACCTGTGTAAGGCTATTGTCAACAGGATAGTCTGGTGACTTTTAAAGTCGGATTGTGTTGCTGCGTGTGCTGAACACAGACCAGGTGATTATAGGGGTTACAGACCCCTTACATGGTCTAATATGTAGATGATGCTGAAAGTATCAATCACAGAATCAGTTCCTTTAAAGAAGACATATCATGCAAAATGCACTTTTTTGTTGTGTACTTGGGAGTCTCTTGGAAGTGCAGAAAAGTTAGTAGCAAAAAAATTAGTCTCTCTCTTTATATTCTGTTTGGGTCATATTTCTCAATCCTTTCAGTTTTCTCTGTTTCCTATGACAGTTTGAAGAAAAACGTCTCAGWATTTGCTGCGGAACTGCTAAACAAGGTCATAGACTTCTGGCTAACCATTTCRGGAATCTGTGGTTCTGCAGTTTCATCATCTACATTCTCCTCTGGCTCTGGGTCAGACTCTGGCTCCAACATGTAAGGCTAGAAGGACAAGTCTTCAGTTGTTGACWTCGCTTATTTAATTTGTAAATAAACGTTGCTGCGCCGCTGGATAATCTCGTCTCTGCTATCAAACTACAAAAACGGCYGAATGGGGTGYGGTGAACCATGATCATTTGGAGTGAGACCTGAAGCGGGGYGGGGTGTGAAGGGTYTCATTAGCATYCAAAGAGACAGCACCAAAAYGAGTTGCTCTCAGATGCATCTCAGTATGRGTGAAACAGGGGCTTGTGGAGGTACAACAATGAAAAATTCAGACCAAAGCATTGCAGTTCCTCTTTATTTAGACCCCAACTAAATGATTTAACTGTGAAAAAGAAGGATTTAAAAGCACAATATGTCTCCTTTAAACAGCTGTATTCAGAGCAAACGATGCATAATCATCATATATTTGAGGATAGTGATGATTGCAGCAGGTGCGATTGGGATTTTGTCGTTTTCACACATTCTCCTGCACCGTTCACATGCTGAGGCYGACTTGTTTTTCTCGTTACCTTTCGTACTGTTGCCATTGCCAGTGGAATTTTGTACGTCAGTCACCAGAAACAGAAGGGGGACCATTGTGGCTGCAAGAAAACAAAATGAAGACGGATATTAAATTTAGCGCCAGACAAGTCTGCAGTCGAGATGCTCATGAGAGCGCAACTGCTGGATAGTACCGCTATTCAGGCTTGCACAAGAGCTTTTGACAGATCTGAGGCGTGTTTTTCTTCCTTTTTTTTTTTTTTTGCGTGACTCCTGCTTTCAGGAATGTGCTCATCGGTGCGAAGTTCACCAGGACACAATGGAACAACACACTCATATCCTGGTCCTTCATTGGTCCTGTCACAAAGCACATGTGTAATACCAAACATGTCCACACGGTGGCGGAATGCTTCAACCTTTGAACACAAGGTCACAGTAACATGCTTCACATTGAGCTTTTTGATTATTAAAACTATATCAATACAAGAAGAAAAAAAAGGACATTTAAAATGTTGCATTGCTAATTAATAATTAATTGATCTGTTAGCAAAAGTTAATGTTATATCTGCTTAATATTAGACCAGCCATCACAACTCTACAACCTAACAGCATTGACTCAAAATGCATCATCAGAAACAGGAAAGAGAACTTCCACTAAATCCCACTGATGTAGCCGATACCAGCTGTTTTTCTTTGGCTATTTCCRTAACAAGGCCGCGCCGGAGCACAAGGGATTTCCAGGAAGTTGCATGTGTTTGTTTTAAAGAATACTCTACGTTAGAAATCACAACACAAACAGCCAAACAACAAGATGTTATCGAGTCGAGAAGTTCAAACTAAAAACAGCTTTCCCAGTGCTCTCTGAGGATCCTGGCTAGATTTTAAAAATCCATTTAAACGCTTCTTTTTCCTGCTGATTCTCACATTTACAGATTAATAGGCCTTGATATGTTTGCAGCTTTAACTACCTTTTTTTTTTACTACTCTAAATTAGAAAACGGTAACGAAGCACAGCAAATTGAGTCCTGCCTCTGCGGCTGCAGGTGTGTGTGAGGGGGAGTGTGTGTGTGGTTCATTGCAGCTGCGGATAAAAGCGAGCCGAGGCCAAGAGCAGAGTCAATGAAGACCCTGTTTAAGGGTTTGTGCCGCAGTGTCCTGTCTTGTGTCCAGGTCGGACAGCGGAGGAATGCGGAGGTGGGCGGCAGAGCGGAGACGCTTCGCTGCAGCGAGGAGAGAGGGTTGAGAAGCAGAAGGTCCAGGTCAATAATATTTCCTGGAGCGATTAATAAACCCCGACTTGTCAAGCAGAAGCTCTGCGGGGAAATGACTGATGAGGGGATTCTAATGAGAAAAGAGCAGAGGAGCACTCGCCCCCACTTCAGCTCCCTCCTGTTTAAGGTTTTCTCTGCAAATGTCACAGGCCAGGATSAGGCGGCGGATACTGAGCTGAGTTTGAGAATCCTCAGGGTGAGACTGCGTATACAGGCTGTTTATGATGTGGAAACATTTGGGACTTTCCATTACATAAACTACATCGGATTTTATGTTTTTCCCATTGGGTCCATCTGTTTGTTTACAACGGTCCAACAGGGAGGTTTTATAAAAGTGCTCAGAGCTAGCCCCGCGGCTAAATCTCATCGTTTCGTGTTGCTGCCTCTTTTGTCGCATCTTGTAGCTCTCAGCTGTCTCATTCCTCTCTCACCTTTGGAAATTTTACTCTGTCATGCTTTAGCCGCCGTTTCCTGCCGTGGRACTCCGGGTCATTGCTGCTGCAGCATTCTGACCTGAGAGATGCTAACAGGCTCCTTCTCTGCATCTCTGACCYGTTTTATTTCTTCATTAACTAAAGAAAGCAACAGCTACGATATTTTAAAGTGTGATTCTGAAAATAAATTAATTAAAAAAACCTCCCCAGGACCTGCTCAAACTAGCCGTTTGCTCATCAGTCTGGTCAGAACTAAAATTCTAACAGATTCTTCAGAAAGGTGTCTGCTGGTGTTGTAGTACTCGAAACCGGTCTTGGTCTCAGACATTAAGGACTCTGGTTTGTATTTCAAGATCAGTCAAGAACAATAGCGGAAATAGCATGAAATTGCCAGAATCTTGTCCAACTTACTTTTTAACATCTTTGCTCTCAATGGATGTAAAACATACTGATTCAAATCCAAGCGCGACTCATTCCTAATTACATATTTTTGTAATTTCTGTCCCACACYCCCACCACCTTTCACTCGCATGCGGCATTCCAAGACAGTGAGTTGTCTAGGAGCGGGAGAAGATGTCTGCAAAATCATCAATAATATAATTTGGCTACATAAATCATGAAGAATTTATTTGTAAAACAAGGAGGGCTATTCATCTTAACTGCTCCGGGGTCCACAGTTACTGCAGGTCAACAGCTGAGGGGCCGAACATCCAGCAATTAAAGTCATTATGTAAATAAACCAAGTATTGCAAAGATCTGTTACCTTTAAATTAGTTTATTTTACTGCATTTAATCATGAATACAACATACAGAACCCTATAAAAGTAAAGATAATTAAATAATATTAAAAACAAAAAAGAACACATTATATTTGACACAAATATTTTGACATCTCTGACTTGCCAAATTTTTAAACCAATTCTGTTTTCACTTCCATAGTTTTATCTTCAACAGCTTGTAGTTTTGACTGTCTTGAATGCGCATAGAAATGGTTTTACCAGGTTGTAGCCAAGACTCTGATGTTTCTGTAGATATCAAACATGAAAACTAGAAAGAACTTATACTAATTAAAGTAGAAAACCGGGGGTTAGGGCTTATGAAATGAATGAACCAATTGACAAGCCGAACTTTGGTCACTCGTGGGCCGGATGTGGCCCGCGGGCCGCCAGTTGAATAGCCCTGGTGTACAGCGACTTGTAATTCTGCARTGCTTCACTTTCAGGGATGGAGGGGACTGTATGTTTTAAGGCACTATCTTCCAATCATTTCCCATTTCCAGTGTTGGTCTTGACTTGGTCCAGTCCCTAAAGGACTTGGTTTTGTCTCAGTCTCGGGTTAGGTGTTCTTGACTACATTAGTATCAACAACAGCTAGTATATTACTTCTTCATAACTTTCCCACAGAACCCCGCTTCCACACCAGTCTCATTTCTGCCTGTTAGTCATGTTTTAGTTTGGGTCAGACTCTGGACCAGCAGCTATCRTCAGACAGTCTGTCCACTCATCTGTATATTGTTCTCTCTCCATTTAGCACTCAGCAGCTAGTCACTAACCATTAGGCTGGTCATAATGAAAATGGGTCATGAGAGATGTCAGCTCGAGGGGGGCGGGACTTCTAGGGCGTTGTTATTTTCTGGCAGAAGACATTTTACGAGTAGCTTTGGGGAAGGGTATTGTCTTGGCCAGCTAGATAGGCTTTTTTTAAAATTATTTCTCTGTGGTATGTGTGACACAAGTTACTCAACCGTAGAATTAGCTCATTGTAAGATCTATCCCAGGCTGCAGCATGAAAGGCTGGCTGTTCACTGAAAAAAATAACTTGTAAGATTTACTTGAAAAATCCTCAAAACAATTTGCACTAACATTTGTTAAGTATATTTAAATGCTACAAATTTGTGTAATATTTACTCATCATTATCTACTAAAAGTTATTAAGAATATAGTTTAAGATTTGTGAATAAATCAGGTAAATTTAACTTAATTTGTTCAAGTATATGTTTGTGGCGACACTAGA